CACTAAAATGACCGGAGTGCAACGAAATGACTGACCTCATATGGGAAGAACATCGGAATACGGAAACCATGGAGTCTGTGGACATCCTCTTTCAAAGAAAACTGATGAACAGGAGATTGGAAGACGGAGCCAGCAATAATTTCGCGTACTGCCTGAACGGACTTGGTGATCCAGGCAAGAGATAAAAAAGAAGACGATTGAACCCATGACAGCTGTTCAATAACAGAGAGAAACATCACCAAAGAGCGGTTCATGAGTAACAAAGGGAATGTATGCGAAGGAAAGTTGGGCTTCGAGGAATCTCTTGTTTCATAATTGTTGAATTTACTTCCATTTCGAGTGAAAGTGTTGGGTGAAAAGATTCGGAGGTCGGTTCCACCAAAAGACGGCGGCGGATTCCTCTTGACCAGATGTCGATTGGCTTTACTGGAAGATTCATGCTGACGCTGTTTCCGAGACAATCTCCTTCGATTCCGGTGAAAATGTGCTAAGCTTTTATCCGTCATATGACGAACAGCATCAGATCAAGATATCATCGTCAAACAGTTTTTTTGAGCCGTTGGCTTGAATTTTGTTGTGACGATGGTTGATACCTTGTTCTGATCATGTTTGTCATATGACGGACGAAATCTTAGAACCTTTTCACCGGAATCCAAGGAGATTGCCTCGGAAACAGCGTCAGCATGAATGTTCCAGTAAAACCAATCGACAGCTGGTCGAGAGGAATCAGCCGTCATCTTCTAATGGAACCGACCTTCGAATCTCTTCACGCAACACTTTCACTTGAAATGGAGATAAGCTCAATAATAACAAAAGGAAGTCAAGAAAAGGCGATTGCGATGAGAGGAGTCGAACCTGAAATCGGCCAAAACTTAAAGGCTAAAAGTATAGGTGGCCAATGTGTGCGATTGTGCTTGTGCGCATTTTCCGTGTCTTTGCCTTAAGGGGAGGCGACTGGTGACAGGCTTGACCAAGGGGACACCGGCCAACACACACATGAACATCCCAGTATCCTAGGCTTATATGGTAGTGTCAACTTGAAAGAGGAGAGTGGTGCGCTTTTTGAGATTCATGCGGAAATGAGGGCAACAGTGCATCTTTACACCAGCGGTTATAACTTAAGCCAGAAACAGGGCCCCAAACCATTAGACGTGGGTGGGAATGAGAAAGAGGGTTTGAAGCCTAGGGAGAGGAAGATTCCCAGGCACTGGCATGTGCACGAGCATGGGCATCATCTGCTCTGAATCCGCGAATATGGCGTAATCGGGGACGGTAATTGAAGGCTCTTAGGCAGTCAGATTTCAGACAGTCGGACAGTGATTATGACGTATATCAGCGACCAGTTGACAAGCGGTGTAGAAGAAAGGTGGGGGGAGCGAATGAAGGTCATGAGCCCTGCAAACGGTCCTTGATACCGGTGGTGGAGATGATTACGCTTCACAAACCTACTTGTAGCGACACATGTTTATGCGACATTGGAGGAAACGAGAGCACATAATTGTGTGAATAATTACATGGGCCATATAAAGTGGGTTAAGAGAAAGAGATACAGCACTAGAAGGTAGAACGACAAATAGAGGCGAGGAGTGACGCTACAGCAGTTGAACAGAAAATTGGTCTCACTAACGACGCCTGCGAAACATGTTAGAATGTATCAAGTCAATTGTCCGATGCTGGAAAGCATGAATACCGTGTCAAAGGACACAGGATTAGGTACGTTCCACAAGGTCTCCCTGACGCTCCGGCCAAGTTGCGTAAACGAGATCAAACCAAAACTATAATCTTTTATGTTTGCAGTTGATTCGTGTTCAGCAGCCAATTATACATTTTTACTATTTAACACTATCCATACTTTTCTATGGATAGCTTGTCCTGTGTAAGTGTGCCCGTTTAGCGTTCTGAGGCTGATTGCAAAATTATCGTCACCAAAATAATCATTTCCAATTGAAGTTTTTAACATTTATTTTTGCAGAACATAGATTAGCCTTAATATAAAGCAGAGAACGATACATGATTTTGTCTTTTTCGAATTTAAATTGACCTACACCGTTGACCACCGATGCTTCGGCGTTTGAACTTACGCTCATCTACGTACACACACACACACACACACACGCATATAGGTATATATGGGTGTGTGTGTGTGT